AAAACTAGAGTTTTATCTAAAGAAAGTACACTCGTGGAACATCGCTAGTTTCCCTTTGCAACTCTGCCTGTCTCTAATTTACATTGGTTCTGCGTATCAATGCACAGTACATCATTAACATTCACGTAATAAACCCCCTCCCCCAATTATGTAGCACGCACATCTCCCGTTTACTCTCTCTGTCTTGTCTGTCTGTCTGTCTGTCTGTTACTCACCCTGTCTCACATACGCATACATATAATATACACACACATAACATAGAAACTAAAATCAATAGGGTGGGTTTTGGCTGACGTCACGCCGAATCAGGTCCGGGCCGTTGCTATGCCAACTGTAGCCGGGATGCTGCTCTGAGCTGTAGCAAACCATCTTATTATACATGGACGCAGGCAAGAGGCCTCGTTTGGGCGAGCCCAGGTTAATCTGAATCGTCTCATGTACTTAAGTGCATGGCGGTTCTCCACAGACTACCCCAATTACAACTAGAATTTCTTTTCTTTTTTGGCGGTAGTTTTACTTAGGTACTAAGTATTTTATGTCATTTCGAGATGTCATTTAAACGGGATTCTTGAGCACAGGGTAGAGAACAGTGGGCAAGCTCGTTTTGGTTATGTTAAAGGTGGGGAATTTTATGACTCACTAAACGACTATTAGCTTCTCAACAAGGACTTCGCAAATATAATATATTTCTTCAAACAGTCGTGTGGTTGATTTGTAAAATATTGAATTTCTAAGTAAGTGACTTCCGTAGACAGAGTGCATCTTGGGAAGCTAAAAATCGCTTGTCTATTCAAGAAATTGCCCATCTTTTATGGAACACTGACTGTTCATTAACGTTCAAAAGAGCCCGCCACTGGCCCCTGTCCTGATCCCAGCCAGATAGATCCAGGTCACACCCTTCCATTCTGCTTTATTAAGAACCAGCTTAATATTGTCCGCCCTTCTACGTTTATGTCTTTCAAGTGGTTTTCTTCCTTCCAAACAGAACGTTGTGCTCATTTCTTAACTCTACTATTCGTGCTACTTTCTCGACCCACCTTAGCGTCTTAAATTTGGTCAACGTAAAAATATTCGATGAATAATATGAATTATGAAGTTCCTCAATTATTTTACAGATATTATACTAAACCATAAATTATATACGTGCAAGATAAGAAAGTGTTTTGGAAGAGCAGAAACTTTATAATACTTAGTCAAACAGCGCCCGTCTGAAAACAAAAATGTATAAATATTGAAGTTAATTCAAGACAGTTTCCCATGGTGCGGGAAATGTTCTGTAAATTTGCTATTTGCTAATTCGTTAGCTAACCCACAGACCTACATCAACTTAATGCTGTTTTGCCACTACATCTGTCGAGATGATGTTAATCTTTAGTGAAAACGCGAAAAATATTTTTAAAATCTTTATTCATGATAACTGGTTCCAGTTGTCGAGCCTTCTACCTTAAGAATAATGCGTGTCCGGGGTAGAAATATTGCTGTAATTTCCCCCATGTCGATGACTCACGAAATACTGACCCATATTTTCTGCTCCGGTGTTATGAAAAAAGAATTTTTTTCAGAATATTTGCCCCTTAAGTCCTCGTGCAAGTGATGAGCAGGTGTAGCTCGGTTGGTATGGCAACTGCTGGGGGCCGGATGGCCGGGATGCAGCACTCGCAGGGGCTCTGGTTCTTCCCCATTCCACTAAATACATAACGAGTTTTGTCCCGCACAGCCTCCAACCCAGCGGACGCTGAGGTAAAGACGACAGGAGTGTAACCTAAATCACCTCCTTCCATTTACCCCTCTAAGTGATGAGAGGGGGTTATCGGCTTCCTATTTGGCAGGTACTGGGTTCATATCTCATAAAGACAGCTATTCTTGCAAAATTTCTTTAGTGGTTATCCTCAGTTACTTCAGACAAATTTTGGTATATAGTAAAATATACCAAAGCCATTTCCTTCCACATTCCTTCTGCGTCATTATTCACTAGCGTTATACCATTTGACGATACATAACTTATGTAGGTAGGAATTAAATAGACCACGACTCGTATTTTGCTCTCAATCTAAGAAGAACTTGATGCAAAGAAGTCAGCTGTTACTGTTAGTTTAGGGAACTTTAAGAGGTTTTGATGACTAGACGTGTAGTTCGGCTAGAGATATGAAAAAAATATATACACAACAACAGTCTAAAAAATAGATTATCATAATGGCAGGCGAGTGAAATTGGCTTATGATTGTGACAAATTATGAGCTTTAGATTAGGAGATGTTGAACCTCTGGATTCTATTATCACAGTGTTACTTAGTTGTTTTATATTTTTCTCGTTATGCTGCTGTTGAACTTTGTTCTACCACAACTTTTACTCGTGCGTGTAAATTTGTAATATCACACTATCAGCAAAGAAAATTAGTGTTCAGCTTGGAGTCTCATTGGGAAGAACACAGATTGAGTAGGTTTGTGAAAAGGGTGCGGAGTGAACATTTTAAACCATAAGAAAGTAAAAAATGAAAATAATGGATGGAAAATACTGCATAAAGAAGAATTTCATAATCTGTAGTTTCCGGAATTTATTATGTGGTGGTTAAATGGTGTAGGGTGATGTGTAAGGGACATGTAGCACGCATGGGAGAGATGAGAAATGCGTGTAAAGTTTGATCGAGGAAAAGTGAATAAAAGAACCACTTGGAACACCTAGGCATCGAAGGGATGATTATATGTTCTTAAGAAAATAGAGTGTGAGGGTCTCGATTGGATTGATCTGGCTAAGGATAGGAATCATTAGTGAGCTCTTGTGGATATGGTGACGAACCTTTGGGATTTCGTAAATGACGGGAAGTTTGATCAGCTGGGCAACTGTTAGCTTCTCAAGGAGGATTATGCTCTGCGAATTTCGTTATACGTTAACGAAACAAAATGCTATTGCGAAAGACTGCTCTGCGTCTGTATGTACGTGATCCACCGAAATAGGATAGGTGCAAATTTGCGTTTATATGACTGTACTAGATTTAATAAGGCTGTGAGATTAGTCTGAGCAAAGTTGCCATCATTTGGAATATTTACATTTAATTTGTACGCATCGATAAAGCAGCAATAGTAAGCAGTGGAAATTTCCTTTGCCTCCTTTCGAAAGGCAAGTAAACACAGAAAGAGAGGAAGGAGGATACGATAAAAGAAAGAACAAGTTAGGATATATACACATAATATAAAAATTATGGCATGTTTGCTATGATACTGTCCATTCGTTTGGTATTCACAAGGGCGTAGCCACTTCGTAACTGCAGATTTACATGAAAATCAATTTCAATGTAAATCATTTTTGTTTTACGTTCTCTTGCGCTTCGGTTCGGGATTCAACATGTGCAAAGATTAGTTTGAATAGCATCTGATTTCAACGTGTAAATGGATTTGTACGAGTAACATCAAAATTCTGTTTGCATATAAAAAAATGCCTGCTTTACTAAAAGCCTGTCGTAAGTACTGTCACTGACAATATCATAGAAGTAATTAATCTAATTTTCCTTCTAAAGTAAACTTCGTTTATTTCTTTAGATAAAATTGTTCTCTTAACGACTGTATCAATAAACACCCACTTTACCCTATCCTGAGGTAGATTATTCTAGTTCAAAATGCATTTTAATATTATCCTTAAATCTATGAATTGATCTTTAAAATGACCCCTTTCTTAAGGCGGTTTCTACCAAAATTTTGTGCGCAGGCTTTCTACATATCCCGCCAATCTCATTCTCGTTTATTTGATCATCTTAGGAAGATGAGGAATACAAGTTATGAAATTCCTGAGTCTGTAATTTTCTCTATTACTCTGTCACTTTCTCTTAGCGCCAAATATTCTCCTATAGTAAAATTTGTCCCGCTACGTGCCACACAGGCGCTTGGGGTGAGTGGAGGTATAGCTCCTCTCTTTCTTGACCTCGGCACTAGATGGGGGTGAGTGGTCGGCATCACGCCCCGGCCGGCTTTACTCCCGGGAAAGGACTCCGGTACCCATTGTAGAGGATGCTGGGTGGGCCCCAAAGCCGGTCTGGACGCAGAGGCTAGAGGAAAAATCCTCTGCCCCCGTCGGGGATCGAACCCCGGTTGTCCAGCCCGTAGCTAGTCACTATACCAACTGAGCTATTCTTTACTATTCTTCTATAGTAAAGAAATTATTTCTTATTTCTCATTAATTAAGAGCTGTCTCAATCTTGCTTATGTTGTGTTATTTTCCCATTAAGTACATTCCTTATGTTTCATTTATCTTGATTTCCGATATATTAGATACTCTTATTCGTGATTAAAACTTCATCTCTTATGGTCTGTGTCATAAGTCTTTGGTTTTACGTGGCAGAAATTCTTACAGCTTCATCCTCTTATTCAGTAGTTTTATTTTCTGTACCACACATTAAAACTTGTCTCTTTTTACCTGTCTTAAAAGACTGTCGTGCACAAATTACTTCTTGTTAAATTCCAAAACTCTTATATTAATTGAAGTTTTAAAAACATACATATTAATTCTGTTAACCTGTGCAGTCTCTCTTTATTTCAAAATTTCTGTTTGTTTCCGCGTGTCACTAAAATATCTCGGATGTTTCGTTTCTCATATTCGTCTCTTGAGAAATTTTTTTTTTTAAATAAACAGATGACAACTTAATGGTCGCTTAGTTCGTCAAGAAATTTACTGCCTTTTATGAAGTTGTAAAGTTTATTACCTTGTTCACAGGAGCCAGCCACTAATCTATTAATTTGAAGACACTGAGTAAAATCGCTAAATCGTATGTCGAGACAGCATGCATCTGCAGTAAAAGCTGTTTAAAACGGAACATGTACCGAAAGAAAATTTGCTTGAATTGTAAAATTTCTTGGGGCCTCATAATTTGGAATTAAACTAATATACGTGTGTCCCTAGCAAACACAAAACCATTAACACCGTTTGTGTACAGGACAAATACAAGGGAGAATTATTTGGGTATATATTACACTTCACGCTTAAAATTCTGTTTCTTGCTGTATTTACAGGAACCTGTTGTTTTACATGGTGTGAAAATCGGTCTCTTACATCAAGGGAAGAACACAGATCGATCGTGTCTGAGAACAGATTACTTAGGAGAATATTTGGACCTAAGAGGGATGTAGTGAAAAATACCACAGAAAAAGTACGTAATTAAGACGTTCATAAATTTTCCTCTTCACCCATTATGTTTATGATGATCGTATCTAGGAGAATTAAATGAGCTAGGCTTGAGGAGACTAAAAATGAATATAAAATTGAGATTGAAAATCTTTAAGTGAGAAAAAAGTAGGACGGTCTAGGCGTTGGCTCTAGGATAATATTAAAACGTATCATAAGGATATATTTTGAGAGAGTGTGAACTGGATTTATCGAACTCAGCACAGTAATCATTTATGGGTTTTTGTGAAGACTGTAATGAGCCTTTGGGTTCCATAAACGGGTTATATTTTCTTGACTAACTGACCTGGTTAACTGTTCATAAATAGCATGACTGTTTTAATTGTGACTTGGATAATAAAGACATAATTAGTCCTCGTGGGGTATTTATTATGCAATATTGAGAGGGTAGGGACAGCTGCCAGCGTCGAACGGAAACTTGTGTGAAATAGAAAGTGTTTAAGTGTCTTTAAATTTCATCATTTGTTTCTGTTTGCTGTGTCTCCAAACTACGAGACAGTGTCTCTATATTACCGACAAGGTTTTGTCGTCGTTTGCTTTCGATGTTTTTCATGGCACGTATGAGTCTCCTCAGGAGTTACTTCTGAGCGGTGGGAACTATTCTTCTTCTTCTGCATGTGTCGATTCTGAACGTACTTCAACACAGCTAAGGAACCCAGATCAGCACAAAAGTGGCATAACTCTTTCTTGCCTATTCAGTGACACAACCCAGTGCACCTGTACGTTATTTCTTGATCTATTTAACGACACTTTCTCAAATGTATAGATCTGCAGGATTGGTAGACATTTAGAAGGAAGTTAATGACCTATTTTAGGTTACTTAATCTTACAGCAGTTTGCTGGAGGATAAACCATAACGAAACTCATTCAAGTAGCGGTTAATCTGGCCGTGTGACCCTCGGCCAAAAACCGACTATCTTGCCTGAAGATTTTTCCTCAGTCTCACCGGGGAAGTGCTTAAAACATGCGCTTACTAAGATCATCCGTAACGCGTTGTTACACGTAAAAATTCTCTGATAGTTGCCTTGAGTTCATCCAACGTGGCGGGGTGTCTCTAGAATGCTTGATTCTCAAAATAACCCCATAAAAATATCCGGGATATGAAAAATTAGGCGATCTTGGCGGCCAGTAAGATTAGAGGACCCGGAAACATTTCGCGCTACTTGTATTTACTCATTTCTGCAGTATGTTATATGGCGCCATCTTGCTAGAACGATGCTCTCGCAATGAGCGTTCCCAACGGAACTTCCTGCATGCTGTAGCGCAGTGGTATTCAACCTGGGGTACGCAAAGACATCTTAGGGGGTACATGAAATTTAAAATATATATATTATTTTATGATAAACACTGAATAATCAGTAATGTAATTTATTTAATTTATTTTAGATGTAGATTTTATACTATGTATAACTTAAATTATACACCAACAACTTTGGGGGTACAAAGATGAAGAAAAATTATATCTGGGGGTACGCGAACAAAAAATGTTGAATACCACTGCTGTAGACCTATGTGCTTATGGCCTTGAAAACCTGTACGCTCCTCGCATTGCTGTAAACTACTCAATATAAAAACGTCAGTTTTTCTGTAGGATTCTGTATCACAAGACAATGTTATGACAATATTTGAGTATAAGAAATAACATCACAACTAAAATTTCTGAGAAATAATTATCACGGATGAAGCATTGTTACTACAGAAACAGTATCTGTGTATCGTATATATCTGCCTTGATTTCTACGATATAAAAATGGTATGTTAAAAGTGATGCTAATAGAATTCAGAGTACATTGAGGCTTTAGCACGAAAACAGATGGGTTCCTTTCCAAGGCGTGAAAGATGTCAAAGAAATATTAAAGTTCAGACACATTTTTAAATCTATTAGTCTAGGGATTATGGTCTCTGGTTCGAGGCAATTCGGTTGTACTTCGTATTTCTTCTGACGCTATCTCGTACCTATACAAGAAAGTCAAAATTTTGTGTTTGTGAGAGAAACTAAGATTTATACCATATTTTGGATTCCATGTTGTCTTATATCCCCTAAGGAGTTGGCATCATATCATCATATTCACTGTTATACTATAATCAGGTGCAAACTGGGCGCTATTATAAAATATGTATACGTACTTTTAGGAGGTTGATAGGGGGCAGAATAGCCGAAAACCTTACCTTGAGCCATACGCCTCGACACAAACACATAATTTACAGCTTTTAGTACAGTTCATAGTGTATAGCATCCGATTCACAACTGATGCAAACTTCAGGCACCGAAATGCCACTCATTACTGTTCGTCCATTGCCCAATTTGTAAATGGCTGTTTCCTGTTCCTCTCTCTGTCCTTCATGCCAAATTTTTCTTGGTCTTACTTTTATTATTTTCCCCACAGGTACAAACATTATTATTAGATTTGTAAAATTTCTTCTGTCATTTGCTGAATGTGAACGTATCAACATTAACGTTTTATTTGCAACGTCTGTGCTATGCTCTATGTTTTTCCTTATATCAGCCGATCTCTTCAGTAACCAATATTAATCTCTTTAACCTCAATTGGTATCTGATACATCTATTCCTCCCGCTGTAATAAGAATCCCAATCATTGTTTGATACATATTAATTTTCCGATATTTTTGTTGTATATTTACTTAACTTATCGAATTCAAGGCATTTATTGCGCCACAGTTAATGTAAGTTCGAAAATTGGGACGGCATTAATTTTTAGTCTGCTTTCATTATTTTACAGGAAATTGTACTCTTTTATGTGTTGTAAATGTACCAAGAGAAACTAATCTAAGCTAGCCATGCAACGAAAATATTACGTAAAATAATTTAGAGATAGACAGATAAAATAAATACCAGAGTGAGGTCGAAATGAGATACCTTTTAAGAAACACAATAAAGTAATATAATCGGATTAAGTTACATGAATTTGAAGACCTAAAATATGATACGAATTTTACACCTTCTGGTATAAATAATTAAAGTAATTTATGTGATTAATATCATTTTTATTTCATGATTTGTAAAACCGAAATCGTCTTTCCTTTCTCCGAATATTCGTACAGTTTTATCTCCTTCTTGTCTTTGTATGTTAGATCGGCTTAACTCGATGCCTGTACCGGCCTCCATCCACTTTCCGTTGTCTCTGATAATTATAAATGTTTTCTAATATTTTTTTTTTTACTTTTCGTACGTGCATTACTGCTCATTGTTTAAATTTAAGATCCCTATTCTGTGCTGTTTTATAAAGGCTACCTATAACAGCTGTAACAGGAACGTGGAAGCGATTTATCCCGTCACTACATGACAAAAGTTCACCTTGCATTTATGTGTCTTGCATGCCACGGGTCGCGGGACCTGAGGGGTCGTATTGCGTTCAAGTACTACGAGCAGTTTCCTGCTAGGAGTGTGCAGGCTTCGAGGATAAGCTCAGCTAGCGGGGAGACAGCCTGGGATTTCACATCCAATCAAAGAAGGACAGAGTACCGCGTACAACATCCAGAGCTGGGCGAACGAGACAGAAAATACATCACCGGACACGTCTGGGCCCAGAAGTACAGAGATTTGAAAAAATAAAATGTTGGATAGAGAGAAAGAATGATTCTGGTTTAGAATGTAAAACGAATAGGAATGAAAAAGAGGAAATCAGATAAATAGAAGGGGATAGATATTGGTAAGGGTGAGAGTTGTGAGGGTAGAAAGGGGGGTGATGATGGCGGTATTGATCTGCTGAGGTTGCCAGGCAGTGGCTAGGGGTGGAGACATTGCACAGCATCCCAAGCATGGAGCAGGGACACAGGCTGCAGCCTGGTGAACCGCGCCGAGACGTGGAAATTCACAAATTTACGATTGGGACGGAAGATCCGAGGTTTAAATCAATAATGAAGACTCAAGTTTTCTTGCATTAAAAAATAACTTGGCAGGTTTCCTTTGTTTGAACATCGGGTGTGAATATGCAGACTTGAGTTTTATGCTCCACGCATATTTACAACAGAAGGACATTTTTCACAGTAGTTTGCCTACATTCAAGCACATTATAAATCATCAGAGTTTGTTCGATTCTTGTAGGCGCCCCGCGGTTTTTTAGCAGAAGAGTACTGTAAAGTTTCTTTAAAAGTATAAAACTTCGTGCTTTCAGTGACTGAGGAGAAGCATATTTTTTGTATTTCTTAGTTTCTGATAAGACACGGATTGAAACGTTAAAATCAAACACAGATCGAACAAAAGAATTGTCGTTGTCCAGTTCAGAATTCAGCTACTGTTCTGAAGTTGGCAATACTGGTTGCTGAACTTCGTGTCATAGCCACGCTTGGTCAGCGTACGACAGAGAACGATTTTATGATATCAGGAAAGACAGACCTATGTGCCAAGAATGGGTTTAAAATTACCGGCACCTCAGAATTATTTTATGCAATACATTCAGTAAATATCAGTGTAAAGTATTCTGTTTTGCATTTATCTGTGTAAAAGGATTCGCTGAGATTTTATTCTGTCGATGTTTGCTACAAAACTAAAACGTGTTCTTTATATAAAGAGCGAAGCTTCGCCCAAGAGTATTTTGCTGTCGGACAGGCCCCATTTTGTCCTAATATTTCTTTGATGTGTTGTTGCTTGCTCCCCTATGCTTGCATCTACTGGTATTCGATCTTTGCATCCTTTGTGTTCTTCTCTGCAGATATTATTAATTTCCAGATGTTGACTTAGTCTTACAGATGTAACAGAAGTCATCAATTTATAGGGGCCTTCTTCAGGGCGGGGCGAACGGGGTAGCCGCCCCGTTCGCCCCGCTTATCAACATTTCGAGGAATGAAATGCTTCTTACACAGCGACAACTTACGAACCCAAAATAAAAACATAAAGCATTTTTATGTATAGCCTACAAATTTAAAATATATAAAATGGTTTGTTTTAAGATGCAATTGAAATTTTCTTCCAACTTCGTCAATACAAACAAAACAAATTGGGTG